CTCACCTGCATTGCATTGCACGCCCCCTGCACACACCTCCCCACGGCACCAGCACGCTGCAGTGATATTTTCATGGGCACCTGGGATGGAGACTCACGGTGTCACCCAGACATAACCCAAAATCTCCAGATGTGGGTTATCGACCTTCCCAAGCTCCCCTGGATCTGTACAGGGCACTTAAAACATGGGCTGGGCAACTGTGGTGGCTTCACCCACAGCGTAAGTCCTTGCAGTCCTCTACTCACTCCCCTCACCCAGTGAGATGGGAAGAGAAACATGACAAAGGGGTCATAGATCAGAATAAGGATAGGAGGGTCTCACTCACCAGGGATGGGCACGGGCAACACAGACTCAACATGGGGAAGAAAATTCCATTTAATTCGTTATCAATCAGAGTGGATAATGAGATATAACAACTACATCTCCAAACACCTTCCCCCCACCCCTCCCTCCTTCCCGGGCTCCAATCACTTTGCTCCCCCTTTCTACCCCTGCAGCACAGGGGACAGGGAATGGGGGTTCAGTCAGTTCATCTGCTGCTCTTTCCGGGCAATGAGATCCCTCCCATGGGCTAAAAGAGTCCAGGGACAAAGTGTTCCAACACGGGCTGACCATGGAGTCATGGACCTCTCTGGGCACAGCTCTGGCTCTGGCATGGGGACATCCACAGGGTGCAGATGGGTCTCCTGTCCAGTGCATCTCCTCCCCTTGCTCTGGCATTGAGCATCTCTGGGGTCTTCTTGCTCAACAAAGCTCTCCACGTAGTCACAGCTGCCCTTGGGCAAAGCCTCCTGCTCCAGCGTGAAGTCCTCCATGGCCTACACATGGATATCTGCTCCACCATTGAACCTCCATGGGCCACAGAGGATCCCCATTTATCTCCTGCTCTTCTGGTGCTGATCTGGGAGTCTGAGGTTCCCTGCCTCCACTGCTCCTCCTCTTTCCTCATGTCCTGGATAGTTTTTGGGGGTTTTTTTGTTGTTCAGGCCCATGGTCTCCTGATGGCTCTCTCTTTCCTTGCCAAACTGGTTCTTCCTCTCATAAATATGGATTCACAAAGGTGTTTCCCTATTGATAATCCACTCATGGGCTGGAAGTGGGTCCATCTCGGAGCCAGGGGAGATTTGCAAAGCTTCTCATAGGGGCCATCACTGTAGCCCCTTCCCCCACCACCAAAAACCAGCCCCTCCACACAGAAACTCACCACAGGAACCTATGGGTCAGTCACCTTCTCCTCTGGGTGTCCTGTCCATGCACCCAGGAGCCAGCAGAACTTTGCCCACAGTCCAAAGGGGGATGCTGTGAACAACACCCTTGGGTTGGCCCAGTTATTAATGCCCCAAAAAGGGCTTTTCCAGCTTAAACCTAAAGTTTATCACTTTGGATGAGGTTGTGCATCTTTGCAGCCCACACCAGGTCCTCCTCCCAAGACCAGGAGATGCTGCAAGCGAAGCTGGCCTCATGCCAAAATAAACTGCAATCAAGGGTCCTATTATCAACGAGTCTTCATCATCTTGGCTTAATTGCACGGGTGGCTGCTCATCATCCAGTTCTAGGAGCTCAAATCCACCCTTGTGTAATAGCTGCAATATATCCAGAGGCAGATATCCATCAACCGATCTCACCCGAGACCAAACGTCTACACCACCCCAGGTTCAATCCAAGGGGGAAGCCACAAGCCCCAGTTAATCAAGGAATAAGCAGCTGGAGTGATTACAGTGTAGCAAAAAAAACCAACCCCAAAACATCTGGAGCTCCTGTATTAATACTGAATAAGCAAACAGCTGGAGCAGTCACAGCACAGTGAGAACAGCTGAAGCAATTAGAGCTGGAAAAGAAATTGGCCGGAGCGTGAAGCTGGGTGCCCCGGGTCGGCCAGGCTCAGGGTTGGGGATATGGAAAGTGCTGACGTGTAGAGAAAGGTGCCAAATTTAGGCTTTAGAGACGAAAACAGGAGCTGGAGATCCTCCCAGCTCTGCTCCAGCTTTGCTTTCCAACCTGGGACAGGGGAGCGATGAGCAAGGAACACACAGAAGCTGCTCGTTTCGGTGGGTCCCACGTCAAGGCGAGTCCCACACAGGAGGATTTCATGGCACGCTTCTCCTTGGGGGTCATCCAGGAGGTCTGGAGCCAACCAGATCCTTTGCAATTATCAATTCTGCCACTTTAATTGCTGATTCTTGGTGCTAAAAGTGCTTCGGTGACTCTGCAAGAGCCAGTGATGCTCCAGCCACACTCAGCACCCAACACCCACCCCCGGGGCGCAGCGGCTCCTTGCACCCCACGCAAGGACCCTCCACAGACCAGGATGAGACCTCCTGGTCCCACCAGCCACAGGACCAGTGGTCAGAGCAGCTGCACTTGGGGGCTGCCCAGATGTCCATGAAGGCAGCTGAGCTGTCCCAGCACACAGAAGAGATGGTGCTGGGGCAACAAAGAGGATGTGATGAGGGGACAGAGACAGCGGATGTGGCCCGTCGCTGATGGGTGGCACTGGAGACACGGAGCCAACTCTACCCTGTACATCCTGTCATGTTTGCTGGGTCTCCAGATCCCAAAACAAAAATGATGAGAAGGATGGAACAGCCCTGCTGTAAGGACAGAGTTGGGGTTGTTCAGCCTGGAGAAGAGAAGGCTCCGGGGAGACCTTCTAGTGGCCTCCCAGTACCTGAAGGGGCTCCAGGAAGGCTGGGGAGGAACTTGGGCCAAGGGCAGGGAGTGACAGAACAAGGGGTGATGGCTTGAAACAGGAAGAGAGTAGATTTAAATGAGATGTGAGGAAGAAATTCTTTGGTGTGAGGGTGGTGAGACACTGACCCAGGTTGCCCAGAGAGGTGGTAGAAGCCCCATCCCTGGAAACATTCAAGGTCAGGTTGGACGGGGCTCTGAGCAACCTGATCTGGTTGAAGATGTCCCTGTAACTGCAGGGGGTTGGACTAGATGACCTGGAAAGGTCCCTTCCCACCCAAACCATTCGATGACTCAATGATTCTATGAAAATGACCCAAGCACTCTGCTGATGGAGAGCTGCAGCCGGGGAACACAGTGCAGGGTAAGGCCATGTATGGGAGATCTCTCCACTGGTCCCAGCTGCAGGACATCCTCGGGAAGGGCTGGGCAGGAGCAAGAGATGCCAAAAGCCAGGAGCCCTGGAGCAACGCTGGAGCCTCCAGCGAGGACATCAGCCCCACTCAGGTGATGGCAGCGGGGACCCAACCCCAGGGCATGGCCAGGATGGGGAGAAGAGAAACAGCTCAGCTGTTCAGGAGCAATGTTGCTGCCAAATAACCAGCACCAGACACCCCCTATCAACACACACTCATCCACAGAGCTCGACTGCACCACATGAACCCACCCAAGGGCACGCTGAACTGGTGAGGAGCACTGGGAAAGCCCAGCAAAGCTGTACTGGGCTCCAGTTAACAGCTCTCACCCAGAAATGGAGCAATGGTGGATTAAACAGCGACCGAGCAGATGAGAGATGTGACCCCAGCACAAAGCACTGATTGTTTTAATTGTTAGTTATTGTTATTGCTGCTGGGCTTCAGTTTCACGCTAAGGGACGAATGAGGAGGACTCGTGCTGGGATCAGCACCAGTCAACGCTCACAGCCTCTGCCAGACTGAAACACTCCCGCTTGAAGGACAAGGGCAGCATTTCTGCAGTGACATCCCCATCTGGTCCTCCTGTCCCCAGAACCTGCTCCCAGCATTTCCCTTCCCTGGCCACCATCCATCATTGTCCCTTTCTCCTGCCTCCCCTTGCACAGCCCTGGGGCTACAACAGCCTTTCACCTCCCTGTTAGCCCAATGGCCACAAGAGATATTCCCACCACGCCATGGACATGCACTGTGCCACAGAGTCCTATTTTGGGGGACGATGCACCTCCTGAGCAGACTCACCATCTTCATCCGTCTGGAATACCACCTCCTTGCCCTCTTTGCGACCCTCAGGGTTGGAGAGGATGAGTTTGACGTGGATGTTCTTGTAGGGCAGCAGGTTTTTGATGGTGTAGCTGTTGATGTTCCGCTCCATCTTCACGCACTCCCGGAAAGTTTGGTTGTGGCCGGTGCCCACGAAATAGCGGTAACAGAGGGAGACGGTGTAGGTGTGACAACGGGTCAGGTTGTAGCCCAGTGGCTCCCACTGCAATGTCAGCTGCCTGGACTGGATTTCGGAGAAAGCCAGACCTTTGGGGGCCCGCATGGGCTCTGTGGGGGAAGTGAGATGGGGAGAGATGAGCAATGGAAGCAAAACATCTCCTGGCTTTGTGTGTGTTACCAGGGAAAGCCCTTCTACAGCGTAGGAGTGAGATGGGAGGGTGTGGAGAGCAACCCTGACCCCAAAACTGGGACCAGCCCCAGCACAGGATAGAATCATACTGGTTGGAAAGTACTTGGGTGATGGAGCCCTGGGACAGGCTGCCCAGAGAGGGTGTGGAGTCTCCATCTCTGGAGATGTTCAACACCCACCTGGATGTTTTCCTGTGCAACCTGCTCTGGGTGACCCTGCTTTGGCAGGGGGGTTGGACTGGATGATCTCCTGAGGTCCCTTCCGACCCCACCAGTCCGTGATTCTGTGTAAGGCCAGGTTGGATGAGGCTTTGAGCAACCTGGTCTAGTGGAAGGTGTCCCTGCTGATGGCAGGGGGGCTGGAACTGGATGAACTTTAAGGTCCCTTCCAACCCAAACCATTCCACTATTCTATGAAAACCAGGCACTGGAGAATTATCTACAGCTCCTTCTGAGGAGGCAACAAGATGGGAACCTCACTGGGACAGCCAAAGGGCTCATTCTCAGGGACAGCAGTCCTGAGATCTGGGGATGCCCTGACTCTGCAGCCCTGTGGGAGGGGAAGCAGCCATCTCCTGACAGCATCTGCCCAGCTCCAGGGATGGAAACCAGCCACGTGGCAGCTGCTCACCCCGTGTATCCCATTGCTGGGCCTTCCTGCAATGAGATCTCACCCAGCTACTGCTGACTGTGATCAGCAAAACCCCACCATCCATCAGGGCGTTTTCAGGCTGGACAGATGTTCAGCTCCTCACATGGGCTGATTGTGTGGGCTCAAGATCCAGCATCACCCATACACCCATCTACCCCCCAGCCATGATCACATCCTGGGTTTAATCAGCGATCCCTCCTGAGATGCCACACACAGCCGCTAAAAAGTCAATTAAAAGCTGATCTATCAGAGGAGCAATGCTTGAAGCTCCTGGACTCTGGTGACAAATGCTCTCAGCACCCATCCAGACCCAGATACACACCCTGCCTGGGGCTCAGGGTGACAGGTGACCTTGTCCAAGGCCATCTGGGGTGGCAGGGGACCTTTGCTCAAGGCCACCCAGGGTGGCCAGGATGCAACATGGGACCCACCTGCACACTTGGTGCGGCTGATGAGGGGTGGTCCTGGTTTGCCAGTTCCCCCCTCGCCGGGCCGGGTGAGCAGGACACTGATCTCATACTCTGTGTCTGGATCCAGGTGCCAGAGCTTGTAGGTCTGCATGTTGACAGCATGGACCTCCGACCAGGGCCCCGAGGTCATGCGGTACTCGATCTCTTTGCGCACGATGGGGCCGTCGCCGATGATGGAGTTGGTGTTGAGCTGGATGATGAGGTAGGTGGAGCCGGCCCGGAGCAGCTGGGGAGGTGCAATGGGTGTGGGAGGCTCTGGAAGAGAGTGGAGAAGGGGCAGGGGGAGCATCCCCTTCCAGAAGCAGCTCCACAACATCTCCAGCCCTGGAGCCAGGCCAGCACTGGCACAACCACAGCTACCACCACTGATTTATATTTCATTTTTCTTCACTAGCTACAGTCAGGACATTCACAATGCCTCTTCCCAAACAAACCCATCACCTTGGGACTGCAGGGCATGGGACAAACTTGTGTCCCCCACCCAGAGGACATGGGGATGGACACCAAAGGATGGGAGGGCACCATCCACTCTTTAAACTTCAGCCCGTGCACACACCCTCCATTGCTTTTAGCCAGGCTCCAAAATAGGGTTTCATCTGATCAAACCTTAATTATCTTTATAAGAGACACTACCCAGCATGGTGCTGTGCAGTTCCACCATAATTAATTAACTCCCACCTACTGCAATCAAAAATAAATTATCTAAGGCCACCCAGAAAGGTAGTTTCCTGGTTCTATTTCAAACCATCTGTATGTAACGATTCATTGCCAGCATTAAACTGTGATCCCACCACCCTGAGCGTCCCACCACCCTGAGCGTCCCACCTTCCTCTTCCTCTGCAAACAGAGGAGCAGAAACAGCCCATCCATGACCCAGAAACTCGGGGGGCAACAGCACCTCACCCACCTTTCACAAGGAGCTCAGCAAAATTAGAGACACCAGAGCCACGGCTGGACTGGGTGACACAGCGGTACAGATCCTGCTCCTCCTTGGACACCTCGTCCAGCTGGAAGGTGGCCAGGAAGCGCCGGTGGCTGATGTGCTTCACAGAGGCAGCAGGGACCACCTCACCGCTCTGCCTCTGCCCCATGGGGAGAGACAAGACGTTACCAGGAGCCACGGTGTGACATCCAGAGCCACCAAACGTGTCCCCAGATGACATCTTCTTAAAAGTAGAGGGGGGTTGCCCTTCTCCCCCCCATGCCCAGCAGTGTCTTCTTGCAAAGGGGAGGCACAGAGGTGTTGCAGAAGCGATGCATGAGGTTGATGGTGGAGATACTAGTTTCACCACCACCATTGCTCACCTGCATGAGGAACCTCTCAGCCTCGGCAGCCTTGCCAGCAGCCACGCACTGGAAGGTGGCATTCTGCCCCGCGTTGACCTCCACGTCACCCAGGCGGGAGAAATGAGGTGCTTTCGCTGCCGAGGGACACAAGTATTGGCATTGCTGCAAAAATCCCATCACAGCCCAAAAGCCCAGCTGGGATGCTGGGGCTGGAGATGAGCTCCAGAGAGTTCAGTCCCCATCCTCATAGCCCAGCCAGGATCCCACCCCAGCAAGCCCATGGTGAAGATCTTGGGTAGGATCCCAAGCCCAGAGTCAGGGATTTGTCCCCATACATCCAGGGAGGGATGGACCTTCCCTCCTGCCACCAGATGCAGCCTATGGGGTTGATAGAAGGGGACAAGTCTCCTACTCCAGCCTGGAAGAAATAGCTGGTGATCCTCAACAGCCAATGTGTTGGGACAGGCTGGGAATTCAGGTCCCCACCAGCATGGGTGGCCCCTCTTGATGGGGATGCTCAGGTCATACATTCAGTCTGCACTTCTCCAAGGTTTTACAAAAACTTGGTGATGGGGATAGAGAGGGAAAAAAGAGTCCTGGAGGTACCCAAGGAGATGGAGCTCCATCAGCCCAAGTGACAACAGGACACTCAGGTGCCACCAGACTGCACCTTGGCATTAGTCCATAAGTTCTCCCCAGGACCATCCCAATGGGCACCAGCTCTGAACTCCGCTGCCCAGCCCACCTCAGCAGCACCCACTCCCCCACCATCCTTCAGGGTCCCCCACCCTCAGGTCCCATCCCCTGACACTCACAGCATGGATAATTCAAGAGCAAAATGTCATCCAAGCCAAGATATCCCCTGCGCTCGCTGGAGACCACGGCCTCAAAGAGGACCTGCAGCACCAAGCAGAGGGGTCACCCATTGCTGAGGTGGTCCAGGTCATGCAAGGGGTGGGGGTCTACACCATGCAAGGTGGGGGGTCTACTAGGGGCTCACCTGGTACTCGTTGGGCCAGAACAAGCTGACCGCCAACTCTGCCTGGTGCCACTGGCGGCCATGGGAGCCCGAAGCATTCCAGACAGCGCTGCCCACCGGACCCCCCGTCACGCGGACGTAGGCGCTGAGGGTGCCGGGGCTGTGGCCATCCCGGCTGTACATGAAGTAGCTGAACTGGAGGCAGTGGGTGTCATTCTCACTCAGTGCCTGGAACAGCAGGTGAGCTTTCTGGCCCGGGGTGTGCTGTGAGGAGTTCACCATCAGGTAGGAGCCTGTGGCGGGAGGGAGAAGGGAGGAGAGCACAGAGTAATCCCCTTGCTCTGTATCTCCAGAGCTTTGTCAGCAGGGATGGAGAAGGTGGAGGATGCAGGACTGCAAAGATGCACATGACCCAGCAATGATGCTCAGGTCCCATTGGGTACCAGTCCATACCAGTCCATGGGGACATGCAGGACAGGAGCCAGGACCTGGGATGGAGTCAGTGTTGGATGCCTATACGGGCAGCAGTCCCAAAGTGGGACCTGGTCTCTGGGACAGGAGGGAAGGATCAGACCCGCTGCCTCCAGGATGAGCTGGTCCCCCCAGGACACCAGAGTCGATACTGGGCACTGGTGAGGCCACAGCTCGAGTGCTGGGTTCAGTGTTGGGCCCCTGACTCCAAGAAGGA